CCCCCCGTTCCCCGGCGCCCCCCCCCGCCCCCCCCGCGGGGCCGCACCCGCCGCGCCCACTCTTGAAATCAGCCAATCCTACCCAGCGCCTGCGGACCGTCCAATCAGAACGGGGCAAGGTGGAGCCAATCGCCGCTGCGCTGTGACTTCACTGTTCCCCGCCCCCCTTTCGCTCCCCCACCCCCAGCTCCGAGCAGGTTCCGCTGTTCGGGAGAAGGGCGGGAAAAGGAAGGCGCGCTGCTATTGGCGGCCGCGCGCCACGGGAGGGCGGGGCGCGTCCCCGAGCGGGCGTGGTCACGGCAGGGGGGCGTGGCCCCGGCGGCTCGGGTGGCTCCGGTCTCCCCGCGGGCTGAAGGCGGTCGGTGATTTACACAAGTCGCTGCTCCGGGGTCGCTCCGCAGCGCCTCCGGAGCCTGCTCGGCGTTCGGACCGGCGCGTCGTGCCACGCAGCACCTAGGGGTCGGCGGGATTGAGTTTTACCGAATCGAACCGCCTGTTCGGTGGGGCGCAGGGAGGCCCGGCGGTGAGCTCCGGCGCCTGCGGCCCCGTGTGCCGGTACAGCCGGGCGCCGACATCCAGCCCGGTGGTGGGAGACCAGCGTCTCGCCCAGGAGGCCTCCCTGCACGGCAGAAGCGCAGTTCCAGGCACCACTGCTGCCAGGAGCATCCCTTCACTTCAATCTACTTTTAATGTAAAATATTTAAAAATCAAGTTGAAATAACAGGAGTGGTAAACAAACACCATGCACCATTGGAAGCTGGAAAGAAGGTTTTCTTTCTTTTGTATTTAAGATGGGGAATACAACTTTACAAAATGTGTGCATCTCTTAATTACTGCTTTTGTTAATGACAATTCAAAGTGAGATAATGACTCTGGTAATAACGATTATGGAAAGGCTATAATGTGTGTACAAAAATATTAACAACATTTACACTAAGCAACAGATTAGTGAAAGTAACACTGACAGCCAAATTCAGTCATGGTGTAAACTGATGCAACTCCACTGGCCTGCCTGAAGGCCAAGTTTGGCTCAGTACCTGTGTGAAAAATGCGCTTTTTACACAATACTAACAATTTTGTGCTTTCACACATGCCTTGGAACTTCTCCTCCTCAATATACACCACTTTGGGCTAGCACTGACTTCACCACAATGCATATGTCCTTATGTGTGCCCTTTTCACATTCAGCAACAACTTTGCTCACCTTGTTTTGAAACAGGAATATGAAATAAAAGGGATACAGGTAAAATACTTCAAGCCATCTGAGGCAAGCGTATACCTTAAGGAGTGCTGAGTACTATGAGCAATGGTGATTGTAATGATAATGACAGCAATAATGACCTCAGTGCAGGGCATTTCCTGGCAAATACTGGGATTTTAAATTTAATTTTATTTTTTTTCAGTGAGTGCCCACAGGTGCCAATTTATCTAACACACTAGAAGAAAAAAACACAGGAGTGAGGACCTCACTATTGGTAGTCGCTTCATTCCTGCATTATGCAAAAAGCCATCTTACTGGTGCTTAAGTGTTCTTGCTTTAACAGCCTGTTCTTATCAGCAAACCATGTACTGAATTTTAAGTATGCAGTTATAGCTTACATGGGAATGCAATGGGATTCAGACTAGTTCATGAAGTCAAGCTGCTTTGTCCAGAGATGGACATAAGCTTGTGCTGAAATATATTCTGAGTTAGGAACACAGAGAAATGGGATATCTAAATACAGTACTGGACTGAGGCTCTGCCCCAAAACCACTTTGCTTCTGTGCCTCCAAGTAAGTCACACACAGCCATAATTTACCAAGTGTACATGCAGTTTTTGCCCAGATGGAAACATCCTGCTCCTGATTTCCAAACAACCTGCAGTAAAAACTCATACAAACCACTTCTGGGGAAAGGTGGAAGCACGGGGGAGCAGACACAGAGTTGCAGACACAATTGCAAATCCCACAAATTATCCTGCTCACTTATGTCTCCCTCTCTTCAAAATAAGAAGTAAGGCAGGGCTGTAACCCCCTCAAAGTAAGAAAGTGGCCAGCCCAGGAAGGCACAGAAAGGTTCCTCAAGCCGGGCATGCTCGCACGATCCACCTTATCCCTCTTCTCGTAACAAACCTTTCCACCTCTGCAGCTTGTTTGATTGCCAGCAGCTTGACTGTTGCCAAGTTCCCCTTCTTTGGCAAGCAGGGCTGATCAACCCTCTCACAAAGGCCTAACAAGGTAATGTCTGTACAGTGCTTAAGAACACGCAAAGTGCAATGTAAGTGCCAAATGTTCTTATTTTAGAGATTAATGAATTAATACTCCAAGAAATATACGCACTGAGGTAACTATAGCTTAAATACTACATTCCCTCACGATTAAAAAAAAATCCAACCTCATAGAACTTTTCTCTCTAGAAAAGATGAATCCTGAATATGAAGTGGTAATACCTTATTTATAGTCCGTCAAGTTTACCACAGCCATAGAGTGCCCTTTTAGTAAAAGCAAAACCAGGGAAGTGAACTGAAGTTCTCAGAGAAACTAAGAACTCTGCATTCATGATGTCCTCATATACCATCTCTGTGATATTTCCAGCACAGGTCTGCTCCCCACCCATTACATCTAGAGAAGCTGATGTCTCGTAACACAGAAGCAATGCACAATCCAGTTTCAGATCTAGCATTCTGATGGCCAGAAATATCCACTAGCAAGGGTAAGTAGGACCATAATCTGCATGAGCTCTCTGAAAAGTTCAGGTTTTGCCCTTAGTTAAGTCCATGCTTCTCATTTGGGTGCCTGTGATAGTAAGGCTGTATGTAGTATCCAATGCACAAGCTCCTATTAGAGCACTCCAGCTATCAAGTATAAACTGATTATCCTGGTGGTCAGAAAAGGATCAATGCAATAACAAATTAAACACTGCGCATACTTTTTCATTCCTGTATTGGCTTTGGCCAATAATGGACCCAAGATTCAACAGACTAATGTAATCTGGTCAATGAAACCAAACCCTGCATTCCTGTGCACTGCGTGATAGATTTAAGACATGGCACAAAAGAGTCAATAGCACCCTAAACAGTAAATGAATACTGCTGTAAAATGCTGATGTAAGTACCAGAATTCAGCTGGTTTTCAAGTGTTGAAAAAACACTGAAAACATCCCGACAAGGTATCCTGCTTCTGTTGAAACACTGACAGCTGTAGTAGGTCCCGCCTAGTGGTTTCATTCTGTTTTCTTACTCCAGTGCTCCTGTCAAATATTCCCTTCATCGATGCTCTGCAACTTAAGTCTTTGGCTAGCATGGGGCCTGGTACCACGCCGTGTGTTCATACTGCTTCCTGGCAGAGTCCGCACAGGGAACAGAGCTCCTGGTAAAGCATCTTCCCCAAACAAGCTGATTTTCACATCAGCTTCAATAGCTCTTGCTAAACTGGATGCGTAACTGTCCAGAGATTTATGGACTTCGGCTTTTACATGAAGAACAGAATTCTTTGCAGCTTCTGGGGAAAAAAAAAAAAAAGGCAAAGCAACATATCAGAAAATTAACAAGTGATCAGCATGGCCGTGCAAATGCTTGAAGACTAATACTGATCCTTTTGTAAAGGCACGATCATGCCCTCTGCCAAATAACTACCCTACAGAGCGCTTTTACCAATGATACCCAGGGTTCCTAAACCATTCGTTGAACATGAAGCTTCAGAGTGACCTCGATAGGGCAAGCAGAGAAAGATTACCTCCAATTCAAGTGAAAAAAATGTGATCTGATGAAACAAACTGTTTATACACATTTAACTTTGAATTCAATGTATGTTGAATGATTTTCTGAATCTGAACTATGCATGCAGGATTTTATTGGTCTGAATTTGTACGCAACTGAAGTCAAGGGCCTGATTTCTTACTACCTAGTCCCCAGGATTAGAGACAAGGGGAATTGGCTGGCATCAGGCAAGACTTCATGCAGAAGACAGGAACAGAACCCTCAGTTTGTACTTCTGCTGTAAGCACGGCTTACAGCATTACATGGATTCTCAGTGCATTTGGACCAAGATCTTACACTTCACTGACACGAACAGTGCAGTTTAAGAGCTATTTTATACTATGTTTTAAGCCCAAACACCAGACACTGTGTTTATGGATTATCAGTCCCCAAATTCCAAGGGCTTCATCCAAGTAGTGATTAAAATCAGCAGTCTGCTGTCCTTAGGCTTAAATTTGCTCCAGCCACACTATGGGATCTACTTCCACTTCCAGTGCGGAAGTTGTAGAGCTCTCCATGCCAGTAGAGGTTGAAGACTGCAGTTGCAGACAGCAGTATGCTTCTTCCTAACCTTTTATTACCTTGGATACACCTGCTCTTCAGTGTTGATGTAGGTGCTTTTGTAGCGTCTATATACCTCTCTACCCACCATGTCGAGCAACACAGGTGTTTGTCCTAAATATAGCTCTTCAGTGTGGCTGCTGAAATAATTTAAAGTCTGAGAGAGCCTGAAAACCCCGAGACATACCAGGGAGAATTGCTAAACCTGTGGGGAGCTTTTGCACTAAGACCTCCTTCTTTCACTGAACTGCACAAAAAATTAGATGCCTGCCCCTACGTAACCACTCAGAAAGATAATGGGAAATGTATAGTAATGTATTTGTCCAAGGAAATAATCAGCTCATGCTGGGAAGAGGGCAAAAGTGAATTTTGCCAAGATGTTTGAAGAGCAAATTTCAGAGAAAGTGTCTTCTCTGAATTTGAGAATCATAAAAATCAGTCAGGTTTTATTACTTGATTCTTAAAGACATCCTGCTCATTTTTTTACTGTCCACATTTATTGTTTAGTAAACTCAGTTGTTATTATCAAGTCTTCTAGTTCATATTATCGTAACTATCAGCTTAAATTAAACTAACTTTGCCATATTTTACAGATGATCACAGCAACACTTTGCTAACACAGAATCAAGTGAGTTGACTGAAAAAGAAGTGCATGTGGTTCATCTATTTTCACCTATATCTGCTGAGAAACATACTAAGTAAGTGAAGTAAAAGTTAAGTTAAAAAAGTAAATTAAACAGAATGAAATTATATTCAGAGCATTAAAGTCTGAAATGGAAGCATTTCAACATGCAAATGACAAATTTGAGAGGAGACAGCAAATGAGAAATACTGGAATAATGGAATCAAAGCACGAGGGCAAGTAAATGTATTCCCTGAGAAACACAAACCAGACAACAGCCACCAGATGAGTGAAGTTGCAGAGAGGATACTGCTGTGCAACATAAATGACATGTATGCATGGAATCCCAGCTTCTAACTCTTGTCCTTGTCTGTTGCTACTGAAGAAGTGGAAGAAAGACCTGATCCTACCTTCTGTTGTACCTGCATGAATGATCAGGTCTGTCAACGTGAACAGTGGTCAGATATATTTTAAGGCAATTCTGAAGGTCGTGGGAGGCTGCCTGAGCAGGCAATATAGTTGGTTCTGAGCATTTCCATGCTTACCACTAAACCCACCTTTAATTTGCTCTACTTCATCTTCAAACGTCACTGAACTCCTCCTTCGAGGAGGACAGATGCAGTGTGGGACAAGAGGGCCATCTGAGCTATAATCTTCAAGAAGCATTGTATCTGTTCCTGAAACAAAGCAGAGTTCTCAAGCAAAACAAAATAACACTGGGATACAATATTTAAGTGGTGACAAAAACTTTTCAGTTTATAGCAGTTCCTTCAAAAGATGTCTAAACCCAGCTTTTGAGTACATTTCAGCTCAAATTAAACACTGCACATAAAAAGAATGAGATCACAGTTTTCATTTGAAGGATTTGAAAATCTTGTCTCATTAGCCATCTAAAACCTCCAGCAGCTCCGAAATGCTCAGCTGCAGAGCTTATAATGTCAATAGGACAGCAGACAAAGGTGAAACCTTACCTTTAGTAAATAAAGGGTAAAGTTGAGGGCAATTTCCCCCATTTCCTGATGAAGACAAGAGGCTAACAATGGCTACCTGAGAGGCAGATGACCATAGCTGCCAAATGTCATGCTTGTAATCAGACCTGGATGGAAATCTGAACTGGAGAGTTTTTCTGTTCAATTTAGTTTGTCTCAAATAACCAATTTTGACTTTCTTGAAATGTATTTTAATGGGGAAAAATCCTTTGCTGGTTGGGAATTGTTTTTGTCTGATGAGTCTTTTTTGCAGTTTAGGAGTCTCTTTTATTTCACCTCCCTGCATTTGCTTTGCACCTTTCCAATATAAAAGAGTTTACAAGCAGAAGGAAATTCATCCTGGCATCTCTGCAACGCTTTCACACAAAGAGCAAGACTGTAGCCTAGACCTCCCTTGCAATGCTGGTCCCTGCTGTGTAAGAGAGAAGCAGAGCAAGCATTTCGGGGAGACACTAGGACAGTGCTGAGTGAGCAGTCCTCAGGGAAGCTGCTGTTGGAAGACACAGCTTGCACACATTCGATGTGTGACACTTTACTATCAGTCCATTTACTCCTGTGATGTGACAACAGGCCTAGGACAAAGAGCCTTCACAGGTTTTATAACTCCTCCAGGCGGTGGCTTCACATGCCTCTTCACCCACTTGACTGATTTTGACCCCCCAATTTATTCTTTTCACAATAAGGACATGTTCCACCACCCATTTTACAGAAAGACATCACTGTGGGTGTACCTCTAGACAACATACTCCTCCACAGGTCTAGTCTTTGCTGACAATTCATTGTGATATAGCAAAGTGATAAACTTTTTAAGGTGAAACTTGTGTGTTACATCATACATCTCCCTCCAGCATACAAGAAAGGGAATGAGCTGCTGCCCTAATACACAGTCCCAAATAAGCTAACAACTTTCTGTGCTATTCTGTGGATCAGCTGGGTTTGAGGCTGTCTACTGAAAACAGTAGACTCTTACTGATCTCTAAGAGTACCGGATCCTCCTCAGAAACGTAGTGTGCAATGGAAGGGTGACACTAGGAAAAAAGAGATACTGTCTTCCATGAAGCAGAATTTTAGCACATTTTTTCAAATGCACTAGTTTGGTGCATTTTTTTTTTTTTTTTCAGATGATGCCAGTGAAGAGACTAGCCTCTTATTCTTACAGGGTGGACCCTCATCCTTGGACTAATTGATCTTAAGGCAGCACTTGTAGCAATTAGGACTCAGGTCTCATTTCATATTTTGTGTACAGCTGGCACCGCTCAGATTTTTTTTTCCTCTCATACTATTTCACCTCTTTTTCACAACATGAAAAGCCCAGCTTCTGTTTGCCAGGGCAGAGAAAGACACGACTGCATCACAGGATACAGGATCATGTACAGCAGCAGGCAGCATTGAAGAGGGACTGTGACTTCTTTCTGGTCTTTAGTTCCTCACAGTAAAGGCATCCAGTGAAACAGTGTTTCACAGTGGATCACTGTATATCCATTCCCAGGCTATGGACTGTACCCCCTCCATAACCCAGTGGCACTTCTAACAGCATTCGGTATGTATTTAGTTTGTTAATTTCTTTAAACTGCTCAGTACCATTCCTCAAAAGATGATACACAACATCCTCTTAACTGAGACAGGTTTACCAGGATGCTAATCTCCTTTTATCACATACAGCTGCAGAATACCCACAACAGGCATAAAACCACCAGCGTAAAACAACTACCAAAATAAATCCCAGCTCCGTAGACTTCCTTTACAAAAGTAAGAAACAAACCTCTAACACCAAGCAAATGTTAGAAGATCACCATCTGGTGTCTCTAGAGCAGAAATACTCTAAAGTAACTGTGGTGCAGTTAAGTAGTGATAGCTGAATTAACTGCCAGAAAAATCTAGCTACAGTTCTGGATAGAAAATTACTGGCAGAACTCTTTTTCCCTTTTCCAAACCATCTTCAATTGAGCGATCTTTAGTGATGAAATCATAACCTGAAACTATCCTAAGTGTTTATGTTTACACTGCAGGATGAACGACACAAGGTCTCTTACAAACTAGGAAACAGAGAAGCACGTTCTCCACAGCACTTTGTCACTCTGTTCCTCGTGGATACAGGGAAAGTCCCTGAAGAATGATAGAAACTAAAGGACAAGGGCACAAAAGCAGTCAGTCCTGTTCCCAGGGCACATTATTAAGGGAGGGTCATCATTCCTTCAAGTAAACAGTATTTTGCAAGTAAATATATTGAGAGCAAGGAAGGCAAAAGGCAACTGCAGCAGTTTTGTTGTAACAGCTGGAACAGATGCTTCATGTCATCCATCCACCAAGAGACATCTGTATGTGTAAATACAGACTATCCCAGAGAGTTCTGCCAAGTTACAAGTGCAATCTTCTGCCCAAGAAAAGAGAGCAAGAGACTTTTAGTTACCTGAATCCTGTGAGCAGCTGAAACCTGTGTCTCCTGTGCTGCTGCTGTTTCCTAATGGCCGCCCACCTGCCATGAGGGCAGTGAGATGAGGAGAGAGTCCCAAATCTGCAAGAGAGTTTTGTTCTTCTTACACAATGAATGATTAAGGGGTCTGTAATAGAAAAACCCTCTTCCAGTAATACCCACTCTACTGCCTTATTTATTATTCTATGTATAAAACTTACCCAGCTGATCCAGAGTGCACAGCATCTGGACTTCCAGTCCTAGAAATCCACTCAGCAGCTTTCAGGTATCCTTGGAGTCTTTCCATATAGCAAGTCTCCTTTCTACCTGCACCATCTCCCCCTAATCTTTTTGCAATTGCATGGTTTTTATCAGCCAGACAGGCTGAACACAGAGCATACACACTCAGAGAGATGGGGATATTTGCCAGACACCTTCTAGACAGAGAATAACCTGGCAGCCAGCAGCAGCTGTGACAGGCCATTAGTGTGGCAGGAAGCTCACGAGCAAGGCTGGGGCACCAAGATGCCTGGCTTCTTTCAAATCCCCAAAACAAGAAAGGAGGAGATTCTAGGATTCTTACAAAGGTGCTGCCTTTGGATCCCACCTCAAGATTTTGTTGTGGGTTTGGCTGCGTTTTTTTTTCCCCTCCCTATCAGCCTTCAGCTAATACACCTGATAAATTTCAAGCTGTTGGCTTCCTATCGCTTGGAAAGAGAAAAAAAACTTTCCTCTCTCTTCCCTGCCACCTCAGTTCCCAATGTATTCACCCATAGCATCTGCTGGATACAGATTTGCCAAAGCTCCTGCAGCTTGTGACCTGCCCACAGCTGCAGAACTCTTTCATTTAGATTGGAGTCTCTCCCAGTGATCCCAGGTTGAAGAAGAGATAACAGATGCCTTCCTGCTCTCCCCTTCCTTCTGCATTTTAGATCTTCCTTCCCAATTAAATAACTTCAGTTCCTGCCTCTGCATGAAATATCTCAAGGCACCCAATGAAGATGTCCTATTTTTGGAAGCTTCTGAACAGGACCAGGAAAATGATCAAAAATCAGAATTTTGTTGCATTGCTACTTTAAAAAAAAAACCAAACTCTGAGCAACCGAAGCTTCCAGCCTGCAACTTGGGGAGACATCAAATAGTTTTACTCTTTTACATGGTTTTGCTTTGTTCGTGATCTTTTCTTCACAACCATTAAGCCTACGAACTGAATTTACAGAAATAGTAACACCAGTGTAACTTCAGTGGATCTCAAAGAGTTGTAGCATAAAGCCAGGAATCAAAGAAGTGCTGTAAAATGTATTATCACTAGTGCTCAAATCTGGGTAACACAAAACAGTAGGCATGTGAAAGGAAATGCTTGAGAGAGAAGAAAATAAATTATTTTTATTAACCTCATCACTATGTCTTCTCTGGCAGAGAAAATTTTACTAGAGTAGCAGAAAGAGGTTAACTCCCACAAAAAAAATTTCTCCTTTCAAGTGCCTATGATAACCCGAACAGAAGATGAAAACCTCCAGAAACATCCCTCTCTGCTTAGAGCCCTGAAACATGCCAAGCACATGCAGACATTAAGCCTTGCTCTTACTGGTATTAAGGAAGAGTGTCTTTTGCAGCCATGCATCTTACCTGTGATCCTATTGGAAATGCTGAATAATCTCGATGTCCTATGCCGCTGAACAAAGGACTCGCGATAATACCGATCCCCAAAGCACATTCCTAGCAGTTCCTTGCGCACTGTCTTGTTCCACAGTCCATAAATTAGTGGATGGCAAATGGCACTGGAAAAGGATAACCATGTAGCTAATGTCTCCAAGGCAGGAGAAATACTATTTTTTCCCCAAAGTGCCTCTGATGTAATTACTACCATGTAAGGCCCCCATGTAATCACGAAAGCACCGATGACAACCAAGATGGTTATGAAAGCTTTGCACTGGTTGGCTGAGTAGACAACCCCTTGGAAAGCATTCCTTCGGCTGCCAGAAGAGGATGTAGAGGTGCTGGAGTTCTTCCTCCCGTTCCTCTGGGAGTCCTCCTCCACAATGACAATGCTACCACAGTGGATTTTGCGGGCCTTAATCCTTGCCACACGGAATATGAATCCATAGCAGATCATCATGACCACGAAAGGCAGCAACGCACACCAGATCTGCCAAAAGGCAGTGTAACCAGCCTCTTTATGCCAGGCCGCCACACACATCCACTTGAATTGGTCAAACTCCAAAGACGACCAGCCGAAAAGGGGAGGGAGGCAGCCGATAAGGGAATGTAGCCACACATACACAAGAGCTACCACTGCTCTGTTGCCTGTTATCTTCATCGGGTAAACCATCGGGTACAGCACAGCATAGTACCTGGTGGAAAAGAAAAGAAAGAGTCAACAGGAGCACAAAAGACGTACAATAAAAAAAAAGGAACATATTTTAATGATGTTGATTTCTAGTTCTCTTTTCTCCAAACCTCGAAGCAGCCTCAGGGACCCTGTTTATAAAAATAATTACATGTAAAAATACATATCCTTGCAGTCAAGATTGTAAAACTTAGCTGAAGGCACACATGCAGCTATTAAATCTGTCCCTACCTGTGAGTGCATGCTTAGAGTATAATCTGGAATTTTAAGTCATTATTTCTTGTTTCTCAAGTAGTATGTTATTATACCATCAATAGCTTTAAAAAACTCTAGATGCATGTCCACATTTTGCATTATTGATGACATCACTTTCTTCTGTTCTGTATCAAAATTTCACACAGGGCTGAAGGAATAATGACACTACAATGGTAAGCAGCGTTATCCACTGCAGTGTTTCTCAACTCTATGAGCAGCCAACGAGTCACTCTATGGAATGACTAGTCAATTTGTTATGATTCATTAGAAAAGAGCTGCTTACCGGTCTATAGCTATGAGTCCAAGAGTAAGCATGCTGGCTGAGCTGATCAGCATGTAGAGCAGGGCTGAGAAATTGCACCAAACAACTCCGAAGATCCATTCTCGCCTGATGGAGCTGGTGACGACGAAAGGTAGCACCAATACAGAGAGTAGAAAGTTGGAGAGGGTCAGGCTGAACACAAACTTGTTGCTCAATGTGAGAAGGTAAGACTTCCGATATAGGGTGACGACAATCACCAAGTTGCCCAAACAGATGAAAATAGCAATGACGATTATAGCAATGGACTCAGTGACTCTGACCGCCCCGTCTTCCTGTGTGGTGAGGTTCCTCAGGCCCTTCACATTGCTGAGGGAAGAATTGCTGCTCATGGTCAGAGCGTGCAGAGCTGGAGCAGCCAAGACATGATGAGCAGCTAGAAGCAGAACAACGCTCAGAAACATTCGGGCAAGATTTCTTCAAGCTCTCTCCAAAGACTGGAGGCCCTTTTGCCTGTGTTAATTAAAATTTACCTGTAGGATGCAGGAAACCATTTTAGAAGGGAAAGTGAAGGGGCAGGAAATTGCCTATGGGTACACCAAAGAGGTCAATGACAGTGCCAAGCCTAGAACAGGGAAGAAACTGAAAGACAAAAAGAGGTGGAAGGGGGGAAACAAGGAAGAAAATTAGCACATTTTACTTTCACATTTTCTAAGGATCTTACTTGTTTCTAAGCCATACTAATCAGCTGTACATCTCACTCAGTCCCTTCATCTAGGCTGTGAAGAAACAACAAGAATGTCACTACCAGTCTTTGTTTCTCTCACTTTAAAAAAAGTAACTTACTTTTTTTAAATTCTGCCCATTTACTCTGATTGTTACCTTATATTCTGCCTATACACTATTTGCTGGTGGTCTGTGGATGCCTAGCTAGTCATACCCTGCAGACTCTTTCTTAACAGTTGCTAAGTAACATTCAAAGACTCAGGGATCATTGCATGTACTCTCCTAACATCGCTTCTCCATGTTCATAACCACCTTAGCTACAGCGGTGATTCCATTTTACTGCCAAAGGACTGGGGGAACTGGCTTTCTGTACATGAGGTTCGAAAGACATTTCCTTGCATTAAGCTGTGGTCCACCCTACAGAAATGTTTGAGAACCTTTAACCCTTGACTTCCCAGTGTTAGCATCCATCCCACTGACTCACAACCTCGTTCTGTGAAACCTCGGTATTTCTCCCAGTTCCTTAGCAGCTTTCTCCCCGCTGCCTCCAACAGGCACTCCTACCTACTTCATTCAATCCTTCACCCATCTGCAGGCCAGCATACTGAAGAAAAAGCACCACCAAAAAATGCAAATATGCAAACCAGAAAACTAAAGAGTCCACCAATTAATATAGAGTTGATGTTAGCATTTCTTGGAAATCAGGGACTCGGGGAAAGTTGTCTCGGCTAACTCTGTGGCTGTGCCCACCCACGGCTCCCAAGCGGGCAAGAGTACTCACAGAAAGGCTTCCTTCTGCGCGGCTGCTGTGGCCTCAGGCAGCAATGTCAGGCTGGAGAGCTGCGTTTTTTCCATTTTAATCTGTGCTTCCTAAGAGCATAATTAAAGACATTACTGGGCCATGCTTTGTAAAACACAACTTAGCTCTTCTCTAGCGCAGCTGCCTGCCGACTGTTTGCAACACCGCTTCTCCTCGAGTTTCTCTCCTAGCACGCCTGCACCACCTCTGCGAGCCTTTCCAAGGCTTTTTGACCGGTGCAGGTTTCGGAAAGGCGGCTACCCCCGAGGGGCCGCGGCCGCTGCCTACGCGAGCGACGCCGGGGCCATCTGCTGCTGCTCCCCGTCCCCTCAGGGCCCTGCTTGCACCCCGAGGGGAGGAGAAGGCCTCCGGGGGAGGTGGGCAGCCCGGGGCGGGGAGAGCATCCCATCCATCCCCGCCCGGCCGCGGGCAGCCCGGCCAGGCGTGGCGGCACGCACAAAGCCAGCGGTGTCGAGTCGGAGATACGGTGGACGAGGCGGGGGGTCGCCATTTTGCCCCCGCGCTCCCTCCGGCGGCGAACAAAGGGCGGGGGCAGGGTCCTCCGCCCCGGGCATCCATCGACACCCCCCTCCCCACACACACAAACACACCCCGGCGGCGAGCGGGTCCCGCCGCCCCCGTCCCGTCCGCCGGGGCCCGCCC